CCTTGTGAGTGAAATTGGGTAGACGGAACACTTGGGAGACCGTTGATAGCTACACTAGCTTGACGTCACAAGTCATCGTGGTCGAAGGCGTGAGCGTGCATGCCTTGTTCAAATTGCTGATCTCACTAGATAACATGCTCTCTCCCAGAAACTGTAACTAAGGTTTGCTCAGCTTAGTTGCAGTAAAAACCACAGGTGGACCCTGTGGGTGTTGAGCAAACAAAATGTACCTGCAACTGGGATTATTAGCCGCCCTCGTAAACGAGTGGCCAGATATTATATATATATATATATATATATATATATATATATATATATATATATATATATAGTTTTAGGGTATACTATATTTAAGGGTTAAAGTGCACAATATCAGGGGTAGAGCTTATGTAAATATAAAAGTGGATATTGAAGACAACATACATAGACGACTATGTATCATGTATCATGTATCATGCTAAACGCAATCGTCAGGCTTGACGACTGCGTTGAGCATGAAACAGACTGTTGCCTCTGGGTGTTAACGTCAATGCCCGCTTATATATATATATATATATATATATATATATATATATATATATATATATATATATATATATATATATATATATCAAAATTCTCTATAGACAAAAAGACTAGGTCAAAACATTACTCCAACGGTAAGATTTGTGATGTGTTTCACATTCATTTAATGTGAGTATCTGTCGGCAGCGAAGCGAGAAAGGAAATATAACGAACCAAAGACATTGCATAAGACGCCAAATTCGAGCCAACAGAATAAATATTTAACTTCAAGTACCACTTCATGGGATTGCATAGCTCTGTAGACAAGGCAGATTGCATGGTAAACAATATCAATAAGTACACATGCGTATCAGTGTAAGGTAATCTGGTTTGATATGTTTAGATTTCGCTAAAATAAGATGTATGACAGGCTAGGTGAAAATCTTTATCCGCGGAACGGATGATAGTGTGCACTGTAGAAAATCACCCTCCCTAATCATTGACATCATTGACGGCCAGGTACATACCTTCATGTTATCAGTGTTTTATCATATATGGCAGTTTGGTGTCTTTCACTGTGTTCCCCTGGCACCAAAATCTCCAGATCACAAACCTTTTAAGCAATTATGCAGTTTTTCACTACGAAAAATTGCATAATATTGTTGTTAAAATAACACTTAATTTGTTGACTACATATAAATCCTTCAGAAGCGGGAACGGCATTAGAATTTTATATTTTTGGTTGTAAAATATTTTTAGCAAGTTTCAGTAATCAATCTGTATGATATATAAATATAGAAAATATATAAATATAGTAAAATCGGGAAAATACTCACTGGTAAGCAATGCAAACAATACCAAAAAAGACATCCTATTATATGTAAAATGTAAATTCGGTGATACTGATTTTGCTATGGAAACACATTAACATCAGGACGAAAAAGTTTGTTTAAATTGACAGAATATAGCATATTCACATGCCTACATTTGCATGATTATTAGTAAGATTTACTCGTAAACAACTAGTTTCGAATTTGGTCTTTCTTTTGTAGAAGATCACCGTGGCCCTATGCCAGACTATAGTACGTTTAGTAATGATTTACTTGAATTCTTATCGTAACACTACCAATTCATTAGTCTAGTGTGATGAATACGCAACGGGTGTTCTATTAGTGTGTGTGTGTGTTGTATCAGATTAAGCTAAGCCTATGAAAACTCCATGAAAATATTGGCTAAAAGGGCAAATGTTAAGAATGTCGGTTTTTATGAATACACAAAACACGCGTCATTAACTTTTTTCACAGTGGCAACATCCCTTGGGTCAATGCCCCTTGGGTGGAGTTGTCGCTGACTGCTCCGTAGCATGACTGACAGTTTAGGAGTGCAAGAGAAAAACTGCATTCCGAGACAGACATCAAAAAAGCGAGAAAACATTTATCGGTTTTGGTGAGGTAGGATTTTTAATTAAAGACCATTGGTTATATTGATCGGGCCAATTAAAAAGAAAAGCTGGTAGCCTACTTAAGAACTTATATTCGTTGAGATTCTCACATTAGCCATATTATAATGACTTCCACTGACGAGCATTTCGCAAGAAAAAATAATGATGAGTTTCATCTTTTTTTTATATGCCGTGGGCGGTTATAGCTCTCTACAACTTCTTATCCTTTGTAGTTCTAAGCAATGTTTATCCTTTCACTGTCGCTACCAATTCATATCTGTCATTCATTTACACAAACTTGTTAGTTTAATTGATGATTACTTCTGCACCTCTTGTCCTCAGTATGTCCTGTGAGCATCAAATTTTCTAAGCCCGCTTTTCTCATCATATATCAAAAAAAAAAAAAAATCAGCTGTCGCTTTCTGATTCTAAGTATTTCCATTTGTTTAAAACTTGCTCGTTGCTCACATGCTTTGTCCATGGTATTCTAATCATGTTTCTGCAGAAATACATCTCTCTGTTAGATCAAGTCTCTATTCATGTGTTGCAAGTTGTCCTGTATTCATTCGCTTCTAATAAAGATTGACATTACATAATAATTGAGCACTTTTATCTTCGTTTCTAACGATATTTTCCTGTTTCATTATAGTTTGTTGATTTTCCTAAAGCATCTCAATGCTTCGTCTATCTAGATTTCTCTGTCACATTTTTCCTGATATCTGAGTCTCGTTGCTACAAAGTAATGTCTCTAAAAACGGATGATTGAAAATGATGCCAAAGTTTTGTTACTTTCAAGTCGGCAGTCTGTAACTTTAAAAAGTTGCAATATAATTTTGAGAAATACGGAATGTAATTACTGCATTCATTGACATAAAAAACGTCCACCATATTAACGTATTGTGGACTTAGGTAGTCGTCGATGCTTAGGAAAACATTATCTAACCAGGCACTTCAGCTTTGAAGTACCTGGTTAGATAATGGCATAGACGGACATATTTTTTAGCGGGAAGAAGCAAGTTCTTACATGTTATCAAAGATGGTGAATGTCATTTTATGAATAATATTTTGAGGAAAATTTGAATAAGTCTAAATATATCAAGAAAATCATTACTAATTCATATTTGAATATTGACTATAATTAAAATTATTTTTCTAAGTTACTTTATTAGTTTTGATTTTATAAGGTTTTTATTTGGAGTATATTATCTATGCGCATGCGTCAGAATAACGCGCAGAGGAACACAGGTGAGTGAAGTGTTTGCGCTTCTCGACAGGCAGTCAAACTAATGATCAAAGACTGAAGTTCGTTTATTAGATCAAGCCAACATCAAGCAAGGAGATTTTTTATCACTTTCTTTTAATCTTTTTATTATATTTCTTAGTGATTTGGGATGGACTTTTATTAATCATGGACTTTATTAAAAGCTGGCTTTATTAAAAAAGGAAAAAATAATAAAAAATATATGCATATAAAAGAAAGGAAGAATGCGGACATTTTCATATCTTTTGTTTAAGCAGAAGTTACTTCGTAAATACTTGTTATCTGAAAATACATTAAGTTACCTTCGTTGAATTGTGTGCAGAGGGCCCAGTTGTTTCATGCAAGAAATTATTGGGGCATAAATTTCAAACAAGCAAAACATCAAAGGGTGCAGACATGAAAAATGTAGAAAATTAAACACATATAGACGCACACAATTGCTGAGCAAATAATTCCAGAACCCCACACGTTGTTCTATCGTGCATTTTGATCTGAAATTTATATTGTAAGATATTAATTTTATAGGGTTTATATTCACACCTGAACTAAATGAATTGAGATAAGAACCAATTTATTATGTAAAAAGGATTTTTAATGTTATTTACGGATTATGAATTTATAGACTCACTCACACATATATACACAATTCTTCAAAGACTTCCTCTCTCTCTCTTACACACACACACACGCACATACACATATGAATCTATAAACTATGGAACAGTTGAAATAATTTTGAATAGTGAAAAGTCATTTGAATATTTTAAGTGTCTTACTGAACTATGATTTCGGTGCTCCTATATGGCAGTGAATGCTGGACAATCTTCTCACAGATGAAGACGTGATTTGAGGCAAAAGAAATGTGGTTTTACATGACAAGAATAAGACAGACCGAACATGTGAGCAACGATGAAGCTTTAGAGAAAATGGCAACAAAAAGGAAAAGGGCTCAGAACATATGACACTCACAAAAAAATTGGATGTCAACAGAGATAGATGAACACAGGCGACAGCAAAAAAAGCAACATTTACAAAAATCTCTGGTGGATAAGACAATGTGAAAAAATATACATATTACATTGAAGGAATGGTATCGAAAGAAACATATCAAGAGAGACTAGCTTGCTGGACAGATATTAAAGGACAATGAGCAAATCATGGAAACACTGGTGGTGATCGAAACAGGTTATAACATGAGAAGCATCAATTTTTTTTCTTTATGGGGAGAGAGAATTAAAAGAAATCCAAAAGAGGAAGCAACAGAGAATATTTGTGCATTCTTTTTTTCCCTATATGAAATGAATTCAAAATTTTATAACAGTGGTCAATATTCCTTGATGTTCCACAGATCCAGCTACTAGGAACATGCAATATAGCATAGAACAGATGAGAGAAAGAAAAAGAAGAAAAAAAGAAAATATAATCGAAGAAGACAAGATAATAATAGTCAAAACTAGTGGGACGTCCACGGGTTCAACTTGCTGGACAAGGAAGAGAATGAGAAGATACAGAAAATCCCTAGATATGAAATAATGGAAATTCTTGGTCAGTTTCCATAGTGTGATTGAGTTTTTACGATGTATCAACGTTTTGCAGGTTATTTAAAGCCTGAAAGTATTTTTAGATTGTAAGAATTGTTTTAGATAATAATAATTTACGGATAAAAACTCTACTAATTAACCCATACCTGTGGGAGATACATTTTCCAATGGTATTTACGCGAAATTGAATACAACGAAACCAACTGGAATTGGAACTCGGTTCTCTGACATCCAGTTCTAGCCGTTATCTATAACAGCATCTGTTATTCCCAAGCGGTCACCCATGTAATTACTGACTAGGTTCTACGTTGCTTAACTTCGGTAGTCGTACGAGAACTGGTGTTTCAACATGATATGCCTGTAACCCTGTAAGCCTCAATCCCCTATGGCAGTAATCTGCCTGTAAGCCCCTAATACTTGTACTACTACTACTACCATCACCACCACCGCTACTACTACTGATACTAACCATTTTCTTTTATATTCGGTCGAATTTACTCGGACATTCATGCGTCTATCACGCCAATCATCGCGGTCCTGCATCATGGTCGGAAGGTCATTAGGATCGCATTCCTTGTCATAATATAAATGGTCAATGTCGGTGGTTGCTGGGCAACCATCACATCTTGCATCCAGAACAGTAGATCACTTGCAAGCCGGCAGTGTACTGCAAAGTGCATTCTGCATTCGAGTAAGATTGTAGAAATACCAGGGATGAATCCAGAGAGCTTTGATTTAGTTGGATGTTGTCTCCCGGAAATTTTAAATATAGTTCTCAGCATCTGAGTGTAGGTTCCATCAAGCTTAGACTTTAGGGTTTTAGTTAATGTGCAGAAAATAGAACGATGCATTAACACCTCCTCTACAATGGTTCGAAAGAATCTCAGGTTGTCTGCTAAATCAGATTTCCATATTACATCCAATTTAGCTTTAGCTATGCGAATTTTCACATCCTTTTCAGTAGAATTTATTTCGCTTTCTATGTATGCAAAATGTTCGACAGATGTAGATTCAACTGAAAGAGCTTGTATTGAGCTTTGCTGGTTGAAGCCCATTACATTAATTTTGAGCGGCATTGGCATAGAGTGCAGCATCCTTGGCAGTATGATGTAGGAGAACTGTGGGATCAGCAATGGCGTCTGCACTAATAGCTAGGTTATCTGTATCAATATCTGTCAACATTTTGATCAGGATATCGACTTGAGAGTTTTCAATGATAAATTCAAATCTAGATGATGATATTTGTCGAGTGAAGTTTTCAATATGTAGTCAATTGTGATAACAAAGAGAAAAAGAGCGAGTATGTCACCCTGGACGACTCCTGTTTTGATGTCAAAGAAGTTAGTGTCTCCTTTTGGGGATCTAACCAAAGATTGGATATTTTTTACATAGCATCATTATGGTATCTACTGTTGCAGGAAGGGATGTAATATGCCAGAAAGATCTTCATTTCCTCCTTATGTACAGAATTGAAGACTTTAGAGAAAGCTACAAAAATTCAGGCGGCCTGTAGTTTCTTTGTCCTGACGTCCTCACTAATCCGCCGAAGAGTCAGGATATGTCCATGTGAAGATCTGATTTTTCGAGAATCAGTTAGTTTTAACACGTGAAAATTTTGCAAAAAATTGTTCTCATGAGTACTGCGCCCACCTTACGAAAGGCTTTATCTATGTAGAATATGTGTGATTGTTTTTTTTTTTTCAAAATTGCTCAGTGGAAAATCTCATGTGGCCATTTCTAACCTTAGGTCTCTGATCGAGTCCCGGAAAGAAATAAGCACACACCAGAAATCAAAGGAAATAATAATAATAATGAGAAGAAGAAGAAGAAGAAGAAGAAGAAGAAGAAGAAGAAGAAGAAGAAGAAGAAGATGATAGAGTGAGCCAATATCTGCACTAGAAAATATGCAATTTCCGCGTAAATGAAACTGAAAGGTCCTGATAGTAACATCACCCAGGCCTGATTACAGAGATAGGACCTGGAATATTTTACGGAACTTTACAATACACATAGAACAGTCAAATCTAATCGCCCATACATCATGATCAAAGACCACAAGAACAGAATGTGCTTTCTTATTGACATGGCAGTCCTTGCAGAATGTAATTTATCTTTGAAGATCTTAAGAAAACTATCAAAATAAAAGAATTTTGAAGTAGAAATCTTACAAATGTAGCACAGGAGGACATCAATAATTCCAGTTGTAGTTGGAGCACTCGGATTGATTGGAAAATGTTCCGATATTCATTGAAAGGATATCGGGTTTTCCTCTTTGAAATTTTTGATAAATCTTAATTCTTCAGCTAATGATTGAAGAATCTCATGGCGAGTTCTATGACAATAACAATTTCTTTTACCACGAAATCAAAATGGAACAGTTGATTTTTGCAAGAATTTCCAAATCAATGCAAAATCCCCGACTTACGATTATTTCTCTTAATAATAATTTAAAAATAATTCAGCAGAGGATTTTTGACGATTGCCTTACTCGGTATGCGTCGTTTGATACGGTGCGTCTATAAAATGTCGCTTTTATCGCGGTCGTTATAGCTTCTCGGCCTTTTGGCTGTGATCAAACTGTAGTATCCACCCTCGGGCGGATAAAGTACATTTCAGCTTTCAATTGTGTGTCTGTCTTCGATGGTTATAGGTGCTGATCTACATTTATAACTCGGCCCTGGTGCACGGACTCGTCTCCCCATATTAAACTGACCTTGTGTCATATCCTACCAGCTGGTGCGGCAAAAAAATACAATTGCTTTTCAGCCTTTTGGCTAGGATCGAAGTGTAGCACCTGCCCTCGGGTGGAAAAAAATACATATCTATCACTTGTGTCTCTGTTTTCAGACGGAGATCAAGTGAAAATATTATTAAGTGCCCGATCTCGGGTAACAGCTACCTGCAGCAATAGCTGAGCTATTTTTGGACCTGGCCCGGGTTATTGGGCTCTCCACATTGACCTTGTGTCACATCCAGCCAACGTGGGGCTACAAGAAAATAAAATCGCTTCTCGGAATATTGGCTAAGATCAAAGTGTAGTATCTGTTCTTATCAGCTTTATCTGATTCTCTCTCTACTTCTACTTTCCCTTCTTTCTTTCATTCGTTTTCTCAATGAAACCAAATAATTTCTTTTCCTGTCTTTCCACACGATCAAAATATAATAGTCCATTAGGTTTTTTATGGAGCGTAGTTGCCAGCACAATCGGTATTGAATTTGATCATTTCCTAGACCGGTTGGCAGCCAAAGCTAGAGAATTGCTCTGCTATTAAACTCTATCTGGAGTAGGCGACAAATGATGGATTTATAACTTTCCAAGTTTATTTCTACAAATGCTCATGCAGCAGAATCGAGTTCAATTGGAAATGAAACGCCAATTTCTATTGTCACTCTGATAAAAAATTGTTTTCAAACAAATATGAAATTTGATTAAATGAATGATAAGTATTTAATACAGTGTATAAATAGAAATTTAATTCCTTTTGCAGAGAACATTTTTCCTTAATATAATCTTCTTGTGAATGTCGTAGTAAATTCTGTATTTTTTAAAAAGTTTTATTTCAAATCAGTAAGAAATATGGAAATTAGATTGTAGACATTTTTGCGTGTATGAACAGCCCAACTATTTCCTTTTAACTTGAAACCGTGATGGATATTCCTAAATACATTGCTTCGGGTACTGTCATAATAAATGTTGCTCAGTTAGCTGCATAAATAATACTGGCAACACTTTGCGCATCATTATCTCATACATAATGCTTAAATCGACCAATAAAAAACGAGAAACAATTAATTAATTAATTAATATAATACCCATTCTCTTATCTAGTTTTTTTTTCTTTCTTTTTGCTTGCAAGTTAAGTATTCATGTTTAACAAGGAAAGAAACCTGCATTGTTTGAAATTGGGCTAAACATCTCGTTCTTTTTTCCCCCTCTGTCATTTTTCTAGGGAAAGACCCTCAGCGTCCAATCAGAATTCGCTACGTGAGAATCAGTCCAATGCCCGTCGTCATTCCGGGGACTTTGTATTTAAGCATGGGCGGTTCGTTGACCCACGACCTCCCACGTCGCCTGACCATCGACCTTAGTGTCACAAAGTACATCTTTAAAATGTCTTTCGTGCTTCCATGTTTCGACAGCCGCGTGGGATCATGGTAAGTCATTCTCTCTCTCCTCTTTCTTTCTTAATTTTTTTTTCTTTCATTTCATCTTGTAATTCCTTTTCTTAAACGATTCCTGTTTCATTGTTTTCCAACCTTTTTTATTGTCTTTTCTTTCTTTCTTTCTTTCTTTCTTTCTTTCTTTCTTTCTTTCTTTCTTCTTCTTCTTCTTCTTTCTTCGTTGTCTTCCCTTTTTAAATGGTTGTTTTTCTTTTTAGTTCTCTCTCCACCAGTATTGTCTTTCTCTTACGCTGTTTGTTTCTCTTTAAAGCTTAACTTTTTTTTAGCCATTTTCTTTCTTTTTTCCTTCTTCGGCTCATATTTTAATTTTCTTCATATTACTTACCCAGCCTCAGGTGAATCTTTTCTGTTACCGTATTTCTTCAGCTATTTCTCTCTCACTTTCTCCTTCCCCTCCCACTCTTCCTCTCTTTTACATTTCTTTTCCTTCTTCCTTCCATTCTTCCAATTCATTATCTTCTTTCTTCTTCATCTTTTTCCTCATTTCTCGTTTTCTTCTTTCTTCTATCGTCTCTTCTTCAGAATTCTTTCTTCTCACTCCGCCCTTCCTTCTTTAATTTTATTTTATATTTTTAAAAATATTTTCCTTTTCTTTCACCTTTTCCTTTTTTCTTTCCTTCTTATCGGCTGATTCACTCATTCTTTTTTTCTTCCGCCTTTTCACTAACTTCACCCTCTCTTTCTCACTGTCCTTTTCTCTTTTTCCTTTCCCTTTTACTTTTCCTTCATTCGTTGCTTTTTCTTTGCCTTTAACTTGATATGCGTTCATTTCATTCAGAATTTTTCTCTTTGCCGTCCGCCAAGTCCCTTGTTACTAAGCAGGTTAATACAAACGTTTCACCTTTCTCTCTCTCTCTCTCTCTCTCTCTCTCTCTCTCTCTCTCTCTCGCCCTTCTTTTAAATTTTATCCTTGTTCAACTCACCCCTGATCCCCCCAACATGTGGGCATTCCTGTAGAGGTGACACATGCAAGAGATACGTGTACTTTATTGCAGACAGGGGCACTTTTAGTCGAACTCCTTTCTTAAGGGAGTGACAGTGTGCGAAACGACCTGATGAATCAGTACTGACCAGACTGTTTCAGATATTGATATCATATGTCCAAGAAGGCATGAATCTAATTAACCCTGAAAATCGTTTCGTACAACTAGTCATGAAAGTTAAGCTTGTTTAACAAAATAAGTATTTACTCATTTAAATTTCATCCAAATGTGAAACATAAGATTATTTTGCGCCAAAACTTCAAGTGCGGGAAAATCTTTCAGCGTCCAGTATCAGGTATCGAAATCTTGAAATTTATCCCTGCTCAAACCTGCATTCTTCACTTTGCTCAAATCATTTGAAACATTTGTCAGTCTATTGCATTTTAGAGTCACGAATAAATTGCTGTCCGATAATAGTGTAAGCGGCAGGTGGAGTGCGATATGAAATTCTTACTTGAAAGATTTCTTGCCGTTATGAAAACCTCTTTAGTTAAATGTTCGCATGAACATGGATAAAAACAAATATAAAAATGTTGGAGAGCTGACGAGAAATTTATATATAGAAATATCCTATTACAAGTAAATACGAAGTTGTAAAGACGAATAGAATAACAAAAATATTTCATTTAAAAACTTCAGGCAAGTGTAAAAATGTTGCAAAACATATCGATTCCGATATGATAGAATGAAATATGAAAAGCTGTCGTATAAATTATTGTGAAATGGAAATTACTTTATGCCAGAATTATCGAAAACAGTGTGTGAATTAATTCTTGTCGAAATTGACTAACGCTCGCAAAAAACAATCATCTTGTAATGAAATCAATTAAATCTTTGTGACGCGATGCAGCAATTTTATAGCCACTTTCACATATACTGTGTGTATGGAATTAATTTTCTATCTACGAAGTGATAAGGCAGCTTAGTATTTCAGGCGAACAAAGGGCTTCTGTCATTAGCAAGAATCTGTGATGATATTTGATTTTCACAGAATATCTTTCAGTATGGAAAACATGAATATAGCTCTTCATGAAGACGAACACATTTGATCTTTTATAGATTTTATGCAGTGGGATAACGTAAGGCGAAATGATTGATACAAATAAAATGTTGAATTCTCACCCAAAATATTCCATATTTCATATGCTTTACTTATGATTATCTAAAAAAAAAAATAGGAACATTTATCTTCAAATGAAATGAAAAATTGTATAAAAATGGGATAAATTTAGGATTACGCAAGGGAAACAAAAAGCGGAAATGAGTTCCAGTGCTGAACTGACTAATAGCCATACTCTAAGCCCATCATATCGCTGAAAAAAACAAAAACAATTGTAGCAGATCACATACAAAGATATCGGATAAAGAAAAACACAAAGAATATCTTGAAATGTTGGGAAAGCTTGATCTATATGGTATAGACATGCAAATACCGTATTTTTCGGCTTACAAGACGGACTTTCTTTTTCCTAAAAATACCCTGAAAAATACGTGTGCGTCTTCTAAGATGAATGTAAGGCAACGCCCAACCTTAAGTAACCTTGGATGGTCACTTAATTGTCTTGACTGATAGGGACGTGGATTTGTATATTGAGTCATTAGATTATAAACATGCTCTGTTTACTAGTAGCTGTGGTAGCCTTTCTGCTCTTGACTAGCATGGTAATACTTAAACTGTATTGGGGGAAAACAATATGAATACAGAATCGAATCAGGAATGCAAGAAAGATGTGTTTTCTCATCGGATTTGTTTAATCTTTACAGTGAAATGATTCTAATAAGATGAGAAGATATTATCCATCCATACAAAGCAGTTGAAAAACCGCCTTTCAGCAGAAAGAAACGTGTTTTTGTCACAGTCGCCAACACACCTACGAGACTTGCAAAACTTGGACGACTTTGCAATTATGGTTCAACAAGAATATGGTAGCATTGGGGGAGGGCAGATTTCCATTCATTATGTCAGAAATTCCTCATTCTATGTTATTTCCGCTATGGTCAGTGATATGCTTGGCATTGTATTAGTAAAATTAAACTTTTGAAAGATTTCACAAACATATTTCTACTAAGGTGAAAACAAAGTAAAGATCTGTAAAGCTGTCGTATAGTAGCCATATCCGTGTCTTAGTGCCATTCTCTAAGTGCGTTGGGGCAATAACATAGCAGTTCTCAAGACTCTCAATCATTCTGCCTTGAACATTACTGACAGAAAGAAAACAACTAGACTCTCCGTATATCAAAGATGAAAGAACACTTCGAAAGTCAACGTCACAGAAGTGTGCCAGGACAGAAATACAGGTATACATGTAGGTAAGGGACAACTGACGTTTTCTCATTTATGTAGATCTTACATATCCCTGACTAGCAGCAGTAGAAGAGTTTCGGACTGAACACTTATTCGCAAAGGGAAGATGTTATAGTAATTCCACTGAGAGAAAAGTGTGTATATTAAAAAGAAAAGAGGGTGCGATTAGCAAATTGTCGCCATTTTATATTTTAAATTTTGTTGTCTGCACAGCATAGTAGGGTTAATTGGGCACCGTAAGTTAGAAAAACTTCACCATGACGCAATTCACTGCGCCAGAACATTTCAGGGTGCTTGGGTGTCAATCTGAGGACAGTGCAGAGGATTCAGAAAGAGTTGGACGATATATCCAGTCAACATTACGGTGTCTGGTGTGATCATTAGTCATGGAGATTGTAATGCCTCCATTCATCTTGCCACAGGGTCTCAGAATCAACACAGAGGCCTACATCAAATTCCTTGAAGAGATAATGTTGCCTGGGTCAAGAGGAAGATCCTATGTCTGGAAACAGGACTCTGCACCATGCCACACAAGCAGGAGAACCCAGTCATGACTGTCAGACAATTTCTACAACCACATCACCCCTTACATCTGGCCACCTAATTCGCCAGACTGCAACCCCCCTTGATTAATATGGGGGGGGCGAGAGACCAACAAAACTTCCTGTAACACGAAAGATGAACTGAAGTCAATTATTATGGAAATATTCACCAACTTAAACCAAAAGAGTTGCAGGCGATTCCGAAGTCGTCTGGAGGTCGTGGTTAGCCATATAGGGATTTTGTTGAATAAATTTACTCTTTTAGTATTTTAGTATTATTTTCATTTTTCAATTTATATATATATATATATATATATATATATATATATATATATATATATATATATATATAGATAGATAGATAGATAGATAGATAGACCGAGTGAGCCAGACAAACCTACCTAGGTTTCACCTAAACGGATCGTCAGGGGAAGTTGGCTCACACCAGACACCATAATGTTGACTGGATATATCGTCCAACTGTTTCTGAATCCTCTGCACTGTCCTCAGATTGACACCCAAGCACGCTGAAATGTTTGTATTGAAGATTCTATTATTGTCAAATCAAAATTCGAGGGTTTTTCGAAACGAGTATAGTTATCTATATTTGTATATTATATATATATATATATATATATATATATATATATATATATATATATATATATATATATATATATATAGACAAGCAAGTTTTATTAAAAGAACCAACCAATTCTGTCTGTTTAATTTTTATGGTATTTTTCCATTTGTCGAATAAATTGTAGTGTATTCGAACGGAAATTGTGAAAAGATTGTCCCAAGTTCATGTTGTGTTGTTGATTTACAGATCGCCGCATCTATCAGAATGATGAAATTTAAATTATTATTACTGCATTATTCCAAAATTTTAACAGATTAGTAGGTATCTATTAATATCAACCACTGAGCCCAAATAGCTATTCATTAAAAAAAATAGTAATTAATGTATAATATTATACTACATGTACAAGAATGTCGATAAAAGCTTTTAAAAAATAACAATAAATATATAAAAAAATACATATATTGTCGAAAATTTCCTTTTCCACAATATAGCTATTTGTGATATATTATAAGGCTTATTACCTAAACAATGATAATACTGTATAATTTTTTAATGTATATTTAATCACATCTCTATAATCCTTCTATTAATCCATGAACTTCGATCACGTTATCCACAATATCGATCACAATATCTAACTTATTATCACTGTTTATATATATATATATATATATATATATATATATATATATATATATATATATATATATATATATATATATACATATATATATATATATATATATATACATATATATATATATATATATATATATATATATATATATATATATATATATATATATATATATATATATATATATATATGAACATTGAAGTCAGTGACAGCCTGTTTCATGGCTAATCGCAATGTTCAAGCAGTCGCTGGGTCTTTGCTTCAATGTTCATTTTTATATTTACATACGTCCTATCCTTGATATTGGGCACTTTAACCCATACGTATAACATACGTTAAAACGATATATATATATATATATATATATATATATATATATATATATATATATATATATATATATATATATATATTGTGTGTCTGTGTGTGTGAAGAAAATTCTAAATATAAATAAAAAGCAGGAACTTAGGAGTGTTTTTGTTTTGTTTTTCCAAGATAGCCGTACTATAAGCGGCAGTCTCATTTACTGGTCTGTGTAGACGCTTCCTGTTAGTTTTACCGTTCATGTCGTCATTCACTTCACCTCAACAGGTGCTCGCTACATCTGTTACCTTCAGGTCGAGGATGTCAGTGATGTGGGTAAAAATGAAAAAAAGGAAGGGAGAAAGAAAGAAAAAAAATGAGTGAGAAAGACGCTGAAAGTGATGAAAATATTCACACGTAGCTCTTTTCCCGTCATAAGGGAACTTCTTTTTTTTGAGTGGGGTGACTGGGTATGTCTGTAAAATTTGTGAAATGATGCTTCTTTTCTGTCATTAGAAGACAAACATCGAACTGGATGATTCAAGCGATTTTTTCACTTTTGGCTTTCATTGTCTCTTTTCCATCTACTTTGTATTCACTTTCCAATCTTTTCAACATTCTTTCCGTATACTTTTCCTATCTCTCTCTCTCTCTCTCTCTCACTCTCTCTCTCTTTCTTTTCTCTTCTTTTCTCTCGTTTCTCTCTATTTTTCTCTCTTTTTTCGTTTTTCTTTTTCCATTTTTTTCTTTATTCCCGTTTGACTTCAGTTCTTCATTCTTCAATCAACCTTCATCTCTCTCTTCTCTCTCTCTTTCTCTCCTTGATTAAGAAAATACGTCATGTTAGACTCAAATGAATAAAAACGTAACATATATACTTAAAATATCTTTGTTAATTCTCTCCCTTTTTCTGTACTCTTCTCGCTTTTGCTTATATTTTTCGTGGACATGTTTCATGTAAAATTCTTGGCTTTTTTTTTTGCAGTGTCTATGAAAATGTCTGTAACAGTCTTGAAAAATATCAGATCTTCGGCTGTCCAAAGGGATTGATGGAAAAAAATATTCGATGTCATTGTCCGTTCTTGGCAGGAGACTTTCAGATCGATGAGGTGCCGTTAAATATTCCCAAATTAGGAGGATTAGCAGGCGCTTTCATAAATGTAAGCTGCTATTTGTAATTTACTCGAAAACATTGTGTTGCAGAAAACACGCACGCACGAGTACGTACACACACACTAAAAAAAATCTGGAATATATATCATATACTTTTAAAATGTTTGCATGGAGAAAACAGGTATTAACAGAAAATTCCACTTTTTAGAAGGGCGCATATTTGCTGCAAAGATTCATAAATGGTTAATGAATTCCTACAGAATGGTTTCAATTTATATAAGCAGAATATGGAAATGAGTAAATGGAATTAATGGCAATTCTAGAAATAAAAAAATAAACTTAGTAACAGGCCCCTCAGTGGCAGGCCAGCTTCTGCTGGGATTGTGTCTGATGCTCTCATAGAAACTGAAAGAAGAATCATAATTATTGAATTCTGTGAATGCTTTCAGATTAGATAAACCTGAAGTTTAGTACAGTCTCCTGTCTTCTCAAGGTTTTATGCAAAGTGTGTTCCCATAATGTGGATAGACTCCCTCAAGGGAAAGAGTATGCTTTATAGCCAATACCTGTGTTCGCAAAATGAGCCAGAGTATAAAAGATTTTCAATAGCAAACATCATAAACCTAACATAATCGTAATGAAGTTATTTTTCTGTATTTGCTGGGTTAAAAAAGGCGAATTGCTGATGCCTGGTGACGCTGAACTTAGAATTCAACAAAAACAAGTCCATTTGCCGTGTGGAAAATACATTTTGCTGCATGTGGACCACGTCAGCCAAAATGCCATAATATTGTAATAAGTATTTCTTCCATCGACCCTGTCGTCATTTTGTTAACATGGAATTAAAAGCCCCCGTAATATATATGTGTATCAGTTCATACAAGTTCAAGAAAATAGTTCTAGATAGGATTACAAGTTAGTATTAAGTAATTTTAATAAAAGCACTGGGAACTTTTTCACACACTTAATACATTGAAAATTACATACATTTTAATAGAATCTTTAAATGCATTTATTATTTTGGATGTTCAATTTTTGACAATTTCAGGAAATCGGAACAAATATTCAGCTTCGGGCAATTTCGAACTGGAATCAATTGGAATGAAAGCAATAAGAATAGGATTAATAATAATAATAATAATAATAATAATAATAATAATGATTTCGTTTTGCATGCGCTGAATATGGCTGATGAAGCACATTCAAGAAAATATTCTATATTTTGTGCATTTTTTTAATGAGAGGATTTCATAATACTAGTATACTTGGTATATACTAGGTGAACAAACACTTTTTACATTTTTGACTATTCATAATTCAATGGTTTCAAGTCGGCCATATTTGTCGGTGCGTTGCAGTGGATATCGGCTCGGAATGAGAAATCGGAGAGCTGAGTTTAAATTCCAGTCGAGTTCGTTACGTTCACTCACGCGTAAATACATTTGGAAAGGTGTAAAGCCATCTAAGATAGTGGTTAAATAACAGGGTTGATTGGGTTTTGTAGTCTTGGTCGGCAACCAGTCTACTGCAGAAAGAAATGGCAACCTACTGCGGAAATATCTTCTGTTCCGTCAGTCATGAATTGAAAGAGACATGATCGCCCAAGCATGCATCACGTATGACACTTATCTGACTGACTGAGCTGAGTAACACGGCTTTTAATTATTTTAATAATAATAATAATAATAATAATAGTAATAGTAATAATAATAATAATAATAATAATAATAATAATAAGTGTTGTTTCAAGTTTATCACTGATTATCCTTTTTGTTTTTTTCTTTCAGGGTAATTACAAACTGCAAATGCGAATCTTGGGAGACCAGAAGGAAGAACTCGGTTGCCTTGAGATGAAATTCTCCGTGCGAAAACGGCATAAAGGGTGGTTCTTTAAAATCTGAAATGAGCCCTCCGCAGCAAAAAGAAAGCGAAAAAGAAAAGGAAGGAAAAGGAAGAAAAAGCGAGAACGAGGGAAGAAAAAGAAAACGAAAAAGTTATAAATAATTCCTTCCCATATTTTACCCGATTCTGAGTTTCATGTAGAGTAAGCCTCAATCGGCTCCTTCTGATCTCAATCGCAGTTGCTGCGGGGCTGTCATTAACAAGTTATCGTTTCGTACTTAAGAGGAAACTAATCTCCCACAAGTACTGATATTCTTTGACATAATCGAAATAAGAAAGTCTGATATCGAAATTCTAACGAAGCAATTCCAACACAGAAAATCAACTGTATTACTGTATATAACTAAATGCTATCAAATGATAAATAATTTTCGGAATAATATGCAAAAAAAAAATCTAAAACATACAACCATATATATATATATATATATATATATATATATATATATATATGCGTGTGTATGAATATATATTCTTACTATACATACAAAATCACAAATGTGTATATAAAGAAATGTATGTAATCTCATATATCTAAATTTCACATGGAAAAGCGCGTAGGTGCACGCAAACACACAGACATGTTGATATAAACAATGCTTGTGCAAAGATAATTGTGTATTTCCCAAACATTAGGAGGTAAATTCAAACCCCTTGTTTTCGAATGTTGATCTTTAAATCAGACTCATCTCATTTGAAGATTGGCGCAACACAATCTGTCAAAACAAATCTGAAGGAATGTTGACTTGCTTGGTATCTGAGAAAGTTATGTGTCATTAAACAGTGCCAGTAATTGATGCTTGAAACGGGGCAAAAAATTTTCACTACTTAATTTAAAATAGATTCAAGTAAGAAGAGGGGCTTACGGTAATTTCCCTAAAACCCATTCATTTTCATTTGATGAATATTCCGAATACAAATGTCTATATTAACACATATTTATGAACATAACAATCGCAAAACAGTGTTTCAGAGCAGGTATAGATATCACACACACACACACACACACACACACACACACACACACACACACACACATATATATATATATATATATATATATATATATATATATATATATATATATATATATATATGTGTGTGTGTGTGTGTGTGTGTGAAGGAATATATATGCTATTTACATTATTCGGACTATTGTCCTAATTTTTGTCGCCATATTTATTACGTTTCGGCCGTTGTACGCTCCAGCCTTCTTCAGCTGGTTGGAATGTCGAACTGAACCCTCTATTTCGCTCACTGGGGTAGACTGTTATAGTTCCACATGCTATGTTTAATGGATGTCATCAGTTATCTCCTGTTAATTCCCCTCTCCATGTTCTCCACTGCCTTAACTGGGTATTAAACGCACACTCTTTGGTTCCTGTCACTGAATCTAACCAACACCTTTATCCTTGCAGACATATATATATATATATATATATATATATATATATATATATGATTGTTGTATACAGAATAAATTCCAATAACCAACAATTACTATTCTTAAAAGAGTGCTCAATACAGAGTACAGCAGATATAATTATTTATTTAAAAATTATAACATAAATATGTTATAAAATCACTACAAAAATAGCCATTTTGTTTCAACACCGCCAATGGCTATTTTTGTAGTGATTTTATAACATATTTATGTTATAATTTTTAAATTAATAATTATATTTTGTGTGTGTGTCTGTACACACACACACACACACACACACACACACACATATATATATATATATATATATGCGTGTGTGTGTAGCTAATTTGGGATTTACGTTTCATTTTTAAGTTGAAATAGAGGAAAGATGATTGTATTGCCAGTGATGAAAATCAGAATTCAAACTCGTCATTCTTTTATCTTAGCTTAAGTTCCGACCTCTGTTGCACTTAAAAAATTCTCTTTCCTCAACCGCAACGCAAATAAGAAAACAGATAAGATAATTATATATGACGGTTGATAGTGCGTGAATACATTGAATCATCATCTTTATACATATATATTAATGCATATAATGGCTCGTCATTTTTATCCGAGGATGCTTCTTTACAGGGATGGCTAGCCAGTCCATTTTTGCAGACGTCCGCTCAGGCACATTTGTGTTCAACACAAACAGAGCGCGCCTGTGCTTTATACTGCAACTAAGCAGCGATTAGATACAGTTTCTGAGAGAGTTATCTAACGTGATCAACCATTTCAACAAGGCCAACTTGCTCAAACCCGCGGTCACAATGACTTGTGCTTTCGTGCTAGCACAACCATTGTCTGAACCAATATAGTTCCGTCTAACCAAATTCACTCACAAGCCGTGGGTCTTCAGTGTATGGTTTTCAAAGGTGCCATACGCTGAAGAGATCATCTACCCCTTCCTGGTGATATTCATATATATATATATATATATATATATATATATATATATATATATATCTCACATGTGACAAGATTTTCATCTTCCTTATTTATGGAAAGCCAATGAAAGCTTTCAAAGATATAATTGCACTCGTAATGATCAGAATATTCGCATAATATAAATTATAATGCGCTACCTGTCACCTTTACAATGGATCAACAATTTACTGGATTATCCAAATTTCACCAGGTTAGTGAAATTGTAAGAACCTGTAGATATTGTTGTATATTTTAATCAAAGTTTATCATTACAACTAGTAGACCGAGTTATAACGGTAAATACTAAAACTGAAAACATTGTCTCTAAAACGACTACAAGTTATGAAGGCTGCATTAAGATGTATACTCCATAATTTGAAACTAGTTTTACAAGTCATCCATCCATTGTTTTTGCAAACTATTGTATTCCTTCATCAGAAACAAACTGCGCAGCACCCACAATAACATTCTAAACTTAATTTCTGCAGTTAAATTGCCGTCCACCAATGTAAACCTTTTTTTTTAGAATGCTACGCAAGTTTTAAGTTGAATTAACGTCGGGCAAACAAGATTCAAACGCGCAAATATCTTAATAAACCCAATTTATTAAGATATTCATTAGCCTCCTTTGGTGAAAGTTATGGCGTATTGTTGGACATAAAGATAATCTTTATAAAAGCGTTTGTCTTCTTGGACAAAGGATCCACGTGTGCCTTCGATATCATTACAACTAATCCTACCATACGATTCCACTATTTCTGCCTATTTGATGTCTGAACCTGCGAGGATGATTCAGTAGCCACCCAACATTGACTCTATCGAATCTTATTCACAAAGAGCAAAACTGTATTCGCTAGAGAAAAGTTGAAAATAAGTTTCCTATATTCGGTTACACATTTCATTCAATTTTCCTTGTAGGTGTCTTTTAAAAGAGGGCCTATAGTTCGGTGTTAATTCTTTTGCCACTTAAACAAGGAAACGACGTCTTTACGTTTTTGACTCTCCTTATTTGATACTCCAAACAGATCCGTGAGATAACGTCCTTCAATTAGGGTCCATTTTAATGATTCAAACTCGCCTCGTAACTATCAATATGAAATTTCAATCAGCTTATTTGATCTAATTTTTTTACATCTACACAGAATAAAGCGACTTACATTCTAACGACGCAGCAAAATGCTGCTATCATTGAACAAATAAACTTTTAGATTGTAATAATTATTTATTTTATATATCACTAAATGATGAAGTGTCTGATCAAGTGAGGCGCAGTATATATATATATATATATATATATATATAAATATATATCTGTGTGTATGTGTGTGTATAATATGCTTTATTCTATTTTGTGAATCATCAGAGGATGAATTAGTTTCACTTTTATAAACATTATTTTATAAATATTCTCTTCTTTTTGTTTACATATGTAATATTTGTGATTTTGTATGCAACACTGATCATCTAAACTTTTGCTGGTTAGCGACTGTTGTCTTTTTTTCCTGTTTTGTTGTTATTTATTCTTTAAACGAAAATAAATCAAATGAAATAAACTGTAAACTCAAAACTGAAACAATAATGAGCCGGAACAAATCTTTGAACATCCAACCTAGTTAGGTTGCCTCAAAATCATTGAGATATCTGCTGCTGTTTCTTGCTAATTGAGTTCATTTTTATAAAAAAAATCAAGGAAGAGTGAGACGATTATTTCTGACAGAACACATGATGGACATGAAATGAAATATCAAGTAGAACAAATATTTGTATCAAGCAAACAGCTTTCCCGCCATTAATTCTATCCTTATAAAAAAATAACCTTACAAAGCCGGAAGTCATTATTTAAACGAACAATAAAGATGCATGCTTTATACTTCGCATTAATTCGGTGGGAAAGCGAACGGAGGTTTTTTATCAAATCGTTTTTAGTTTTTTAACCCAAGCCGCAGACATTTAAGTGGTTTTCATAAATTCGATTCGGTCACTTGATTTATGAGAGCATATTTCATTCAGCAAGTATTTTCAAATTTGCAAAATGTCAAAACAAAATAGAGAAAAATTTCGCATATTTTTTCTCTGTTCGTTTTATTAAAAAATGTCACTTGGTCATTTTATTTAATCTCTTTTGGTAGAAATACTTAATGGAATTTATTAACTATTAATGAATATTGCCATAAAGGTGAGATATGGTATAACAATTTATTTCCGAAAACAACATTACGAGAATATAAACCGATAAATTGTGTTTTAAACGTCCTGAATCTATATTGGCATTTTCAACCCACCATGAAGAAAGTGAAAGTAAATGTCATTTTTGTGATGTGTGCTTTGTGAAGCAGAATTCTATCAAGCTTTGAACAATACCCACCTATCATTTTTTAACAATATTTTTCACCGCTTACTTTACGTTGAAATCTGACTTCCGTCTGTATTCTTAAAATTTTATTCAATGTTGACTTCTTTGTATTTGGCAAGCCTTTCATTACTTCGTAACTATCCTTAGAATGAACACTGAACAAGTATTTCACACATGCATCGTTAGCCAAATATTTACTTAATGTTTCGTGCAGTTACTCTTGCAAATCTAAAATTATAATGGAAATTCAA